CTGCCTAGCCAGCCACTATTCTCCTTATTTGTATCTGTAATTATATTTGATTTACGATTATACAGGCCAAAATGTTATCCTCCCTACATTATACATCATTATAACGGTTAGCCACGAAATTCTATCTTTTGGATATCATTTAATGCTACAATGTAATTGACATCTTCGAAGTTCTATTGTGTCGAGCGTTTCATACACCATTGTCATACAAAGAAATAAATTTACAACATTTATATTTTGAGAAAATATGATGGTAAAATAAGCTCCATTTAGCATTAGATAAAAGCACGTTCTACAAATTTTCTTTTTTCTTTTTCATAAAATTTTAATGCGTATATTAGATTTGACAACATCATAAATGTCCTGGGAAAACTGTAGTGTTGCAATCAGGTTTTGATAGGTTGCCCTGAAGCTCTCCCTTCTGAGTTATTGTGACAGGGTTTTCAATGAACATGATATATTTGTCAATAGTTTTAAAGTTACCTAAATACATTGTAGAATAAATGTCCATATCAAATTTTAAGAAATACTGGATTAATATGGATGTCTGAATGAAATTAATAATTAAAGGTTTGGGTTTGATTATCAAATATAACATTTAAGATTAACAAGTGGTGAGAGCAGCGTTTCTGCAACACAGCCCCAACAATATTTTACCATAGGTACCCAGTAGGCCACCGAACGATCATAATCATCCTTGGAATTACTTTTTATTTGTCTATTACTGTATAAAATAAAGTTGTTTACCGTATAAAAATTAAGTTAACAATTTCGTAACAGATTAATTTAGAATATTATTGCAGGTTTAATGACCTATAACACAAATGATATGTCCTGTCCTGTTCTCTACCGCACATAATAAATTAACCATTAATTGGTAGGTAGAGGCATAACCTTATAGAAGTTGCAAAACTATCAAAGTAACTCGCCATACTTATATGGATGCATGTGACATCATGCTTAATACGTTGCCAGGAAACAACATTTTCTGATGAATGTCTGTCAAATACATATATGCAAGACGAATGACGTGTCAACGTACATAGTACTTATGTAGTTAAAACAATGTTATATACTGAGGAATGCAGGATTACAAAAGCCTTTTAAAGCCTTTCTTAAATAAAGCGTGGATGTTTAAATTCAGCAATTCGTAGATATCGTTGTATCTTTGCTATGAACTTTTGAATTCTTTACACAACCAAAGACACGTTCTGTATATTTATATTGTATACCCCGATCTTCTCTGTAGGTGTATGAGTAGTTTGTTTTGAAATAAAAACAAAATGAAATTGAGCAACAGCATGTTCGAAATCTTTCTTCTCTTTGGTTGACGTTTAAACAGTAAAACTTATTGTTAAATTCATAAATAATATGTAAATACACGAATAATTCATCGTTCTGTGAGGCCCCCGATGGAGATTTTGTTTTTTAAACTATTATCAAGATTTATTTACCATATACTTCTTCCACTAATTGTTTTAAAAGTTAAACACAAATTGCTATATCTTAAATTCTTTACTGACGTGATATACAGGAGAATACACGACTTCTTAGATCTCTATACTCTGAGGCACTCACATTCATTTTATTCAGGCTAAATTTTCTCATTTTAACCTGAAGCAACCTATAAAACAGATGACGTGCTATTCTCACCTTTCGTAATTCTAATTTTTATTGATTTAAAAGCTCAAAACAAGTTAATTTCCCTCTTTCACTATAGATTGATCTGAAAAAGTATTGAATTCAAACGAATAAAAGATCAAGCCCTTGAGCTAATGAGATATAAAATGTTTGATATCTCACTGGGTTAATTCTTATAAACATAAGACTTGTTATAAGCTCACTTTAATGAATTGTCGGTTGTAAAAGCGTCATCAGCTACATTTGTAATTTTTCCACTGAAAATTTTCACAAAACTTTCATTTTTCTTTTCGAATAATAGAATTCTTTCACTTTTGCACAATTTGTACAAAACTTACTTTATTTTAACTTATTTGAAAAATGGGAGGTTCCCGCAACAATAGGGCTTTGATTCGATTAGATATATATATGAAGAAATCAATTAATTTTAATCATCATCACCCTTTAGGCTATAAAATAGTTTTCAAAGATATCGACGCCTTAACAAATAATTGTGTACTGTCTTTCAGACACAGTTATAATTTCCAACATTGTTTAGAAATATTCAAACATCAATAGGTACGAATTATATAGAAATTACCATTACAATAATATGCATATATATCTACTTGATATGAATTTGATATTTTTTTTCTATTTTCCATTTTAGTTAGTGTATATTGTTTAATTTCATTGTCATTGTGATTATGGATTATAAAGGATGGTGTTTTGTTTTTCTACATTTCTGACGTATCCTTGTATTTAAATTATGCTTATCCGTATTTAACGTATATTATTTAGATTAAATGTAACTAAATAAGTGATTATAACATGCTTATAGATGGTTTATAATAATTTTACAAAGTAATCAGGTAATCCTATTACATTATTTATCCGGTAGATAATGATTTTTTAAAACTCATATTAAAATAATCTGAGTACTATTTAGTGTACAAATAACATCCAACAAATAATCTGAATATATCTTTGTATTTCGTAATGAGCTGTATTTATTGTCATATCGTATTATTGATATGTTTCTTCAAATCACGACTAGCTGCTTGTTTGCTTAAAAATGTGAATGCCATTCCTCAAGCAAAATCCTTGTTTAGGAATGTATTTAGGATATTGTCTTGTAAATAACTTTGCCTGTTGCCTATTTAACTAGATATATTGAATTCAAAACTATTTATTGTTGTCGTAAGTAAGTTCGCCCCTTTAACACAGATAAATTTCAGATAAATTATTCATAATCTATTCCTAAAATGATGATAATGATGAACTGTAAAACTAAATGCACTAACTGCCCATACGTGATAGAGACAGGCAGACGATAATTATGATAATCATGATAGTCTGCTAATATAACTTAATATACTATAATTATGTTAAGGGATGGTAGGGTTACATGGTATAATATCTATACTAATCACATTAGTTCCAGTAAGCGGCTTGGGATGAATACTAAACCAAATTCATTTGTAATCAGATATAAACATTAATCTATATGTAATATGAGCGATAATTAATCTATGCTAATATAAGGAGGCGTAAATTTATAACAGAGTTTTGTTCATCTTGTACATCAGAAGCACTTAAAACTCTCAATGATTACTACAAAGAACAAACTGTGTTTATCGATGATAAAGATTATATGAATATTATTCAATATAAATTGAAATTCTGTATTTATCTTATTTAGATAATAAGATCTATATATATAAATATATCAAAGATATATCAAATCTATTCAAAAATATCATTTCTTGAAATCTTATTGTTTCACGTTTTGCTTTAATATTGCTTTCCGTTATGATATATAGAGATACTAACTGAAGTTATAGAACATTTTAGCCGCGTCACGACAAACCCAACAAAGTGGGTTTGCGACCAGCATGGATCCAGATCAGCCTGCGCATCCGCGCAGTCTGATCAGGATCCATGCTGTTCGCTTACAAACTCTATTACAAGTAGTGAAACTGATAGCGAACAGCATGGATCCTGATCAGACTACGCGGATGCGCAGTCTGGTCTGGACCCATGCTGGTCGCAAACGCACTATGTTGGTTTTGTCGTGACGCGGCTGATTTTTTGATTATTACAAACTGATTTGTCAATCCTATAAAAAAATTTATGCTATAAAACAGTGGTAGCATTCTATTTAAATATATTTACGTGTTTTACTATGTCGACATATAAGCAAATCCTTTAAGATTACAACGAAAATAACATATACATACAAAAGCAATCCTTTGTAGGTATTTTGTTATAAAATCCTGGTTTTTGCCTAGATATTTTTGGGAAAAGTGCCTAGCCCTTGATACCTTGAATTGTGCGACATTGTTAATTTATTCTAACCAACCCAAATTTTAACTGACTCACAAAAAATACAATAATATTTGACTGTAAGGGAACATACCGGAATGAAAATCATCAAATTTGTTAAATTTGTTAAACTGGATATATATGAATTTCAGTCCGATTGGGAATTAATCTTAAAGACTTAAAGAATTTTTTTTGCACATTTGTCATCGGGAATGGGTAATGTGAACCGTGGTGACACTTGAGGCCTGATATCAGAACGTTCAGATCTTTTTAAAATAATGTTTAACAATATTTAACTATTTCTTAGTAAAATGAAATAATGTATATGATAAATGTGTTATTGTCTGAATGTATAGCACAGTCGATGTTTTCTTTAAAATAAAGTCGTAATACATTTCGTCTTACAAACATTACAAAAGTAATAGGAAATAATAGTAACATTTGATTGCGCGCTTGTTTTGTATCTTATTTCATTCTAACAATAAAATGTAATTTATTTGTTGTTTTATTCATACAACCATTGTTTAAATATTATGATATAAACAAGAAGAAATATTTTATTTTGCCGTTAATTATATTTAAAAAATACAAAACTACTTTTAATGTGGATGTTAATCTGACAAAGCATTAAAAATGTAATGTCAAAGCAAGTTTCCTACTCTAATTTATTATCAGTATGAAACCGAAATAAATTTAGCATCCACTTTGTAGACTGATATCTAAATTATCTAAAATTACACTACCATTGTACATGCAAAATTACATCTGCAATAACGTCATTTAACAGGAATGCAATATACGTGTTGTGCTGTTTCATTCATTTTATAAAACTTGAATAATGTTATAAAACAATAAACATGCATAAGAAATTTCGAAAATAATTATTTTATGATAACTGATAAACAAATGCTTAAATGGTACACAACTACCGCGTTTAAATTTTAATAAAAAGTATAATATTCATGAATTACATTTATCTGTCATTAAAGAATATACGATTATAAAGACTATCAATATAATTTTGAGAAGAGAACAAATTTAACTTCAAAAATTACCTGCACATTCACAACTAAAACATCATCTTTGTCCACTGAAAGACAGTCGGTTACCGCTAAAGTTACCATCAAAACTCCAAAAAGTAGTTCCATTGTTATAAACATGTTTGTGTGTTTGTTTACTGTAAATTTTCAAGAGCTAAATATAGAATGAGCGCCAAATTATAAGTATCAGATTTTTTCCGTTCTTAACCCGATTTTATACCGCGAAACTCCACGAGATCTACCTACTCGTATTCATAGACGCTTGCTATTGGTTTGGAAGCCGAGTCATCCGCTATAATTGAAAAAGAGATAAATGTCTGATTCTGAAAGTATAGCAGCATGAAATTTTGTCAATTTCCGGATGTCAGTCTATACTGAAGGTAATTTAAGGGTCACTACCACGTGTCTCTACTTCAAGATTCAATTATTTGATATTGGCCGTATGCTGTGCCTGAAAAATCAGTCTTTTTCTTCCTGATTTAGAGCAACTATACAATATGTTGTCTGTATATAGAAAAATGAATGATCACTTTGTTTCATGCATGTTTAAAATTGGCCGGTGCTGTCCGTCTCAGATCTGCCAATTTGCAATGAATTAGATTCATTAATCGAATAACAAAAGAAATGACATGTGCACGTGTGGAAAAGGTCATGAAAATCTGATTTTTAGTTTCACTTACAATTTCTGTTGTGTACGAATTTATATTTTAAATTATGTTAAGATTTCAGTCTAGAACAAAGATATGTAGAGTATTAAACAGTTTTGAAATTTTTAAAATCTGAAAACATATATTTTGAAAATGAAAACATATTTTCCAAAAATGTATTAAAATTTGTCAAACTACCTCTTATGCAGAAGATTTGTTAGGTGTTCTTCTTTTTATCTATTTATGTTTTCCTATGTTTATATTATTACTATCCTGATGTTATAACCCAAATAGATGTATATAACCATGCGGCATTATTTGTTTATATATGAACTGAAGTTATTTAATAAATACCTTATTGTATCATGTAGTGATACATCGCTCATCTGAGATTTTTAAGTTATATTTCTTCAGTCTAAATGATTTTCTTTAACCTAGGTAGCAACATTGATTTTACTTTTATGGAGGTTCACTAAGAAATGCAGCATGTAAAATAACCTTGAGCATTGTTATATATAAGTAGAGGATTTTTACCTTTTTTCCTATACAAATAGGCTTGGTTTATACAATATGTATAGGGGACCACAAGCTGATTTTGATATCAAATATTGATACTCATACTCATATTGACATTATATTCTTAAAGGAAAAGTGTTCTAAAACATGTTTTCTAGGTAAGTCTTTGTAAAGTGGCCATTTTTATCATTGTTTCTATAAAGACTTTTTATACAACCATTAGTTAATGCCCTGCTATTCATATTCTGTTGTTCTTTATTTAACCAGTATGTGCAGAAGAACGTTCTTGATTCTCTGATACTTAATATTTGTTAAAATTTTGCCCTTGAAATAATCGTCCTATACGTTCACGATTTGATTGATACAATTATCTTTGCACCCACACACAAAAGGCAATTATCAATAGAAAAGCAATCATAATAAGCTTATCAATATTCATTAAGGGTCCTATCTTTGCAGACTCTAGAGTTTTCATGATAAACAAAAAGACGCTTCGAAAACGTAATTGGAATGAAATTCTTTTTATGTAAACGTTATCAGTTGATTGAATTCATAACATTTCAAATCATCATTCAAAAACATATCATTGAATTCAGATTTTTTTCTTATTTTATCAAGGGACCCAATTGCAAATAATAATATTTGTATAAAATACTGCAATTAAGTATGAATCAGAATTTTATCATTTGAGAATGAAAGCATATTTCTACTAACATATTTCATAACATTATGACCAGATGTGTGACAAGTTTGGCTTTATCTTGCCCAATTGATCATTTGTAGTACGCAGAGTGTATTTAGTAACCGCGAAGAAGTAAAGCATGTAACGCTTTCAATTTCACTTAAGGATTTGTTAAAGATGCCAATATTTTGAAAAAATCCATACAGAAATGAATCTTGCTTTATTCATGGACATCTATCACCTTTTCAAAGAAAACTCAACTTAATTTGACAAATCGAGAAGTCACATGGTATTTTATGATGCATGATTCTATTCCAAAAGGCTTTGCAAACAAAGAAATTGTTGTATTTGATTCTTTCTTCTGTAGAAATTTTTTTAACAACCAACCAGGTAAACAAAATAAAAATGACAGAAAAACCTACAAGTGATAAAGTAAATTTGACAGTTTATCAAAAAATAGCGTGTAAAGATTCAGATATTCTTTCGGTGAAATGAAATAAGATTTCAATCTATTTTCCTACGATAGTGTCTCTATCAGAAACTGAGCCTTAAAGGAACTCCATTGAGGTCCAAAGACCTGAAAACATTAAATATGAATTTCTTACATAGATCAGCTCGTGCACTTAAAATAGAGAGATATGCAAAAGATAATTTAGAAATATATTCTGTAATAAATTGAAAATCATATTTTGTGTTGTTTTCAGCCCGATTTGAGTGAATAGCGTTGCAACGACAAGTCTTATTCTTCGAAATATTTTTCTAGTTTCACTGGAAAAATAACGCGATCAAATTCATCCTCCTAAATATTTCAAAATATCACAAAAACGTTCATGGGCAAGACATTAACTTCATTATTTCAAGAATTTTATTTCACGAAAATGGGAAAAAAATAATGATAACATATAGTCATTTGTTGATTTACGTGATGATTTCAGTGTTGTTGCTGTGTGTGTTGTTGTTGTTTGTATTTTATTGTTTGTTTGTTTGTTTTTTCGATTAAATGACATTAAAGCGGCACCACCAATATTACGAGCATATATCATATAATCTTTATTTTTCGTGTAAGGTAAATTATATACAACTAATATTGTGCAAATACGCCAATAAACATATCATATCCGTCTTTGAAGGTTTGGATTGAAATGTTGAGAAAAATTCCGTTTAAAAAACCACATACATTGCATTTACAGTAACTTGGTTTTATAAACATCACAGTATTTGGAGTTAATAGACAAATTAAGATTGATCTTGTTTGAAACGGTTCAAGAACTAATATCAATCACTGGTGTCACCCTATGTCTGATGTACTAATTACATTGAATGGAGAGAGATGTTCTACTGGTATCAGAGTTTATTTTTTGTATGTTAGTGTCGCAAACTACTTTACTACAGAAAGTTTGTGACATTCGAAAAATAAGTTGTTGCTGAACCTAATTGATTCTAGCATTCCGGATTAAACATTTTGAATTTTAAGAGAAATAACCATAACGACCACTGAGTCGTAGAATGGACTTCACTTAAATATAATAACTGCAAGTGTTATCCTGAACAAAATTGAAAACAAAAATGCCAAAATTAAAAGTGACATTTCCCCTCTCCATAAATTTGCCAATCAAATTATATATAACTAAGAATTATTACAAATTTTCTCGACTGTTACATCAGCTTCAACATAAAACAAAAGTGTAATCGACTCTTTTGAATATTGTTTTTATTCTATTTTAGATAAAATGATTTTGAAGTAAGGGAAACATGCATATAATTGGATGTAGTTATCTATGTCCGCAGTGAGTAATATCGAAAGATATTGCGGAAAAATGCATACTTTGTTTGAAATAACATAATTGAACTAAGAAATAAAACGGTTTTATAGTTCTCATTAATGATCATATTAGTTATAATGTATTGTATTGAAAATTGCTGAATGTAATCTGACATGGGGAGATCAATGAGTAACAATAGATCAATATAATTATAAATATATAAACTGTAGGTTTGTAAAGGAAATTATCTGAAAAGTCCTAAAACTACAATCAAAATAAGCATTGTTAGGCCACATGTGTCACAAATCACATTCGTCACAAGTTTTTATGAATTTGTGACGAATGTGATCACATTCGTCACAAATGACTTTTGTGACGAATGTGATTGACCAAAATCGGGTAAAAATGCCAATCACAAACGTCACAAGCAAAATTGAGAATTTTTAAACAGGCGAATCACAAATGTCACAAGTTTATTTTTCAATATGTGATACACGGAATATCATAAGGACAATCGTGGTTATATCAGTGCGATAGTACAAGGGCGACAATGCAATAAATCGATATTGTGATGTCGACATCACGATACCAATATCTTTTCACCACCATTGCATTATCGCCATCGTACTAACTTGTTGCAATATCGTATCGTCGGCATTGTATTGTCTTCATAGAACTGTCGCATTGTCGTAATGGTATTGCTATCAAGTCGTCTTACGTTCTCGAAACCTTCAAAAAATTTTGGTGACAATGCACGGCATAGTATCAGACTTCAACTGGAAGTGATCTTTTACCTCTGTGAACCTCAAATTTCTTCCCACCATACAGCGACAGTCTAAAGGAATCTCACAGACTTAATCTTAGTTTCAGTACAAATTATGACCATATTTACACCAATGAGACCATATATGATTGTTTGGGAAGTAGCTGAGACCCCCGTTGACTTTCAGGATATCTAATTAGAGATTAGGACCTTTTGACATCAATGAACCTTTTTTGGTCTGACAGACTTTTGACTTCCGCAGACTTTCAGGAATCTTGGTTCAATTAAAGAGTATGACATTTTGACATCTAGGAACCTTCTTTCCTGAGACGATTTTGCAAGTCTGTGCCAATTGCTTGCAGACGCTCTATGGAACTTTCCATATCTATTCCACTAGTAATAATAATATAGTTAATTCGTTTAAACAGATCGTGTCTTTGTGGCGGGGCCGCTTTATCGTTTCGACGCGTCTTAGCTTTTTTCGCCTTTTATGATTAGATAGTTTCAAACGACGGTGTTTAGTGAATTTTATAGAGGATATTTGTTTGTTTTGAGTGAATATGAAATATATTTCACTGAGAAGTGAGAAAAAAAATGAAATATGTATCACGAGCGCGTAGCGCGAGTGAAAATATGAACATTTTCTCACTTCGATGTGAGATATAGTTCATATTCACGAAAAGCAAACACATTTTCTTTTTATTTTATGTGCCTTTTGAAAAGTGCTTTTAGACCGTTTACTACAATGCGGACCAAGTGTGCCGATATCTTCCTTCAGGCACACTTGCCCTGTATCATAACCTTTTTATTGCATATGTAGACACTCAATTATGTTATTCTTCTAAACAAAGTTTAATGTTTTATCTCCATACTGTTTTCTAACAAATCGTGTC